CTATCAGGTAAGAAATATTGAGTTTTTTTAATAAAAGTTACTAAATTTATTTTATATCAAATCTTAGGCTAATGAATTCAATAGATTAATCACAAATCCAAATGAATAAGAACATAGTTTTTATTCATTTATTAGCTGTACCAATTTTAATTAACCTTATCATCTATAATATTACGAACCTGTGGGTTTATGGAGTTTCTTTATGATATATCTATTTTTATTAACTGATTTCTATTAAAATAGTGCTTACATGATACCAAGTTATATATAGATCAAAGGTATTAAAAATATTGAATAAAATTTAAAATCACATTGTTACAATAAAAATAAAAACTAGTATTTAACGTGTGGAGATTGATATTTTTAAATTTTTAAGAATTCAAGCTCACAGCTGATTCTTAAAAAAGAAATTAAAATAGATAAATACTAGATATTAAATAATAAAAATTAATGTTACAGTTAAAACTTTAAAGAATGAAATTTTACTTAATATTTTTCTATATTATAATATAATATTAAATTGAGATTTTAGTTTTATATTTGTACCTTTCTTTTATAGCAAATAGATAAGAAATCATTACATTTAACTTTTACCAATCCCAATCAGTATGAACTCTACTAAAATTTCAATGTTGCTTAAGTAATGGATTAATTTTCAATATCAATGATATTTGGTGACGTTACTCCAATTAATATATAAACCAGAGATTGGGTAGGAAAATGAATTTAATTTTAATAAAATACTAGTCTTTTTTACTGCATTGGTTATTCTTATTTATATTACTTTAATTAAGGACCTAATAATGACTTTTAATCGAAACTAAAAATCGAGTTTATGGATTTTACTGTTATATACCTTCAAAACTCATGTTTTACATAAAAATAATAATATACAATATCAATAAAAAAAGATTATAAATATTGAAATCAATACCACTTCAGTACTATTTATTGACAATAAGATCTACCATTACTTTGTTTACAAGTTGTACCTGGTGGACAATCATATGGATAAGCAAATTGAGTATTAGCACAAACACCTACTTTTTGGGGACTAAAGCAAATCGTTTCTCCAGGTTGAGTACATGAGCCTTTTGGATAGCTATTATCACTTGGAATGCCTGGGTTACCTTGTCCTTGTCCTGGGTTACCTTGTCCTTGTCCTGGATTACCTTGTCCTTGTCCTGGGTTACCAGATCCACTAGAATATTGGCGAATCCAAGAAGCAAAATTCGAAATTCTAGTGAAAGCAGCAGAAGGAGCATTACAACCTTCAGTACCATAAGAAACCAAACCGACAATAGTTCTTAAATCACTACTAACTACAGGGGAACCAGAATCACCTTGACAAGCAGAAGAACCATTTTGTACACCAGTGGCACAGAAATGAGTTCTTTCATTTAAAGGCGCTACATTACGAGAACATACTTGAGGATCTAATACTTTCATATTTAATTCTTTTAATACATCACTACTTTGTCCAAAAGATTGAGTACGTCCCCAACCAGTGACTAATACTTGATTATTGATTTGGGCTGAGTTATTGGTATCAAGAGTTAAAAAGGAATTAATATTATGACTTGGATTAATTTTTAAAATAGCAATGTCATTATCCAAATTTTGACGATTAAATTGAGGATGAGTAATTACTTGAGTTACTCTCAATTGTTCTCCACGCTCACTACGAATGTTATGAATGTTGCCACGTACGTTATAAGAGCCTGGATTGTTTCCTGCAATACAATGAGCAGCCGTAAGTACCGTATCTTTTGCAATTAAAGAACCACCACACATGTTACTGTTATTGATAATAATATGAACCATATAATTATATTTTCCTCTTTGGGCTACACTGCCACCAATGATTCGACTACTAGGTTCATCATTATCTTGGGCAGAGATAAGCGCAAATAGAGTAATAAATGGAATGATGAAACGCATATTTTTAATAGAAAATAATTATTTAGTGGTAGTTATCTAAAAGCAATAATAATCAATAGCAATAGCAATTTTTTTTCACAGAAAAAAAAAGAAATGTAAATGATTTTTTAATAATTGTTGGGTGTAAATTGGAAGTTTATATACCTTTTTTTATACCTAATGTCAAATTTATTTAAATGTTTTTATTCTTATTAGTACCTTGGTATTAATATTAGATACCTCACTCAAAATCCCTTTTTATAAAAAAAATTTTAACCCATTCTTTAGCAACTACCCCACCAAAATTAATTAGTATTTATTCTTTTAAAAATATTTATAAAATTAAGCGTCGTGATTAAAAAGTACCTAATTTTACAAATTTTGGGTCCTCAAAGTCCTTGAAATATTAAAATTAAGTCAATGATTATTATTTTATATTATTCCATTTAAAACTAGTATTTATTGAATCTGTTTTAATAAAAAATTGATATTAAATAACAAGCGCAATTTTATTACTATTAAATAGTAGCGCAATTTATTTCTATATTCAGTATTAACTTCAGTATTAACTTCAAACATCCTAAATCCGAATTTCCCAAGAAATTTAGTAATTTAAAAAGGAGATATAAGTTAATAAAAAAAGGGTTTGAAGTATAGATAACTTTAGTGTATCCTTAATTTTTAACTAAGTATATGCTACTGAGATGCAATTGTCGTTATGGTTCAATACTTTTAAAATAGTTAAAGGAGTATTAAATAAAATAAGCTATTAATAATATCAATAATATAGTTTAGCATTAAATGTTTTATTTCTTTTTTTTGAAAGTATTATTTTAATATCATTATTCTGGTATAATTCGGTAACTCAATATATTAATTTTAACTTGAAATAAAAAAACCTTATTTAATAGGATTAAAAAATCCTTCTTGAAAGTTTATTTAGGTTTATGATTAAAAAATATTTTAAAAAATTGATTAAAATATCTTTAAAAAATCAATATAATAATAATATAATAAAATCTTATTAAATTTGTTACTAATAATAAAAAATCAATGAAAACATTTCATTATCTTATCTTTCAATCCTTTTTTAGAAAACTTTATTTAGATTCACGCTTAAAAAAGGACTATTTTACCAACTTATTCTATAATCTACTCTTATTATGACCTATACTCAACTTAATGACTAACAAGTGATTTAGCATTCAAAAACTTCCACCACCCCGTTTGTCCTAAATTCTGAATTAATTCTTGTTTGAATGAAGGATATTCCCCCTTTTCAATAACTTGTCTTATTTTTTTAAAAAAATGGATAAAATGATACAAATTATGCTGCATTAATAAAATGGAAGCTAACATTTCATTAGTGTTGATTAAATGAACAATGTATGCTTTAGAATATCCTTTTGAACATGTGTAACATTGACATTCACGATCAATGGGAGTAATATCATCTGTATATGGATTTACTTTGTTGTCCATTGTTTCTGGGTTTAATTCCATATACTTTTCTTTTTTATTTAGAAAGGTTAATGCAAACCCGCGTTCACTAACCATCCAAGGATAACTATTAAATTTATTATTATTATTATTATTTAATTTATTTATGTTTTATTCTATTCTATTCTATTTTATTTTATTAAAATTACCTTGAATCAAATAAATCAATCCCATTTTCAATAGCAATTAAAATTTCAACTAAAGCCAATTAAAATAAATTATAAAACAAATTAAATAAATAAATTTACCAGGTGTTGAAAATTCCCATGAAGCAATTAATTTCTTATTAATTTCATTATTATTGTTTTCCAATTCTTGTAATGTAATATTCGATTGATTAATCTTATCGTTAATTGTACCATTTAAATTCGATATTAAAACACCAACATTGCTATTATGATTAATCAATTCTTTATTTTTAATAATACTATCTTTTCTTAACTCATCAATAGAACCACCTAACAATGGTAAAAAGAAAGGAATGTTGAAATTATTATTATTATTAATTATTTCTTTTAAGAATTGTTGAGTTCTCAATATTCCATTTTGTTGCTTTTTTTTACTTTCAAATGTTTCAATTTTCATTTTTTTATTTTCATTCTCTTCCATTTCTAATTCTTCTTTCTTAATGAAATATTGATTATCATTTGGCAAATAATCAAATAAAGGTATAATAATATCTGGTTTAATTCTATGAATCCATTGTTTGTATTCTTCACTTATTACTTTACACAATCCTTGTCCTGTTTTTAAATTAATATATTTTTTACCACTTAAAAAAGGTAGTTGGGGATCTTGAATATTTTGATATTTTAAATCGATTTGATGAAGATCTAATAAGGTAACATAATCCTAATATTATTTATTAAATACTTTTATAATATTATAATAATTAAACAGAATAAAATTTTACCTCACTATTTGTAACTTTACTAAGTACTCTTTCCTCTTTACCAAAAAGTTTACTCTCTTCAATATTTTTATAAAGTGATAAATTAAATATATTATCTAAGGACATATGAAGGAAAGTAATATCTTCTTTAATAAATTTTAAATTATTAAAAGTAAGATGAGGTATTTGATTTCCAATATTGGTATTAAATAAAAAATTAGGTGTATCAATACATTTAATCTTATTTTTTAATTCATAATTAAATTTTCCCAATCTTAATCCTTGGTTTTGTTGAACTACTTGAAATTTCATAGCGTTACTTCTATCTTTGTCTATGAGGATCTGTTGTTATCGGTGGATAGTTAAAGAGTTGTTACTTTTGGTTTTATTTTTTTTATTCTTTAACTTAAAAATTAAGTGTTTTATTGGTTAATATATAATTAGAGATTAATTTATAGAATGCTCTAATTCGCTTCAATATTTTGTTTATTTTCAGACTACACAAAATTTGAAAATGAATCCTATAAAATTCCTTGAAAACATACTCATCTATCAAACTAATTCATTTCTTCAATATTAAATAGTCTAATAACTCCATTACTCCAGAATCTGATCCCAAGTAAAAAACGATTCAAAACCTTATTTCCTTAGAATAAGGGTACTAAAATATCTGTTGATACTAGTTTGAAGCCTAATATGGGGCTCGAACCCATGACCCTGAGATTAAAAGTCTCATGCTCTACCGACTGAGCTAATCAGGCATCTTTTTAACTTAGATGCTTTTCTATCAAGTAAATAAGATATAAACTATTTTAATGTTTAAAATAAATATGTTTTTATTGTTTTAGTAGCATTATTCTAATATAGTGCAAAGGATGAACAAATAAATCAACCAAAAGTTACTTTTTATTCAAAATTCAATTTGAATATTGGTAATTTAGAAGAAAATCTATAATCATGTTGGCCTAGTGCAATTGATGCATCAAATATTAATACTATTTATAGCACTGAAGTTAATTATAACTTATTGTTAAATATTCAAACAAATATGATATTTGGTATAAGACAGCAGTACTCTTTACAAACTAATTGGTAAGGTTGTTATGCTTTGTAGATGTTATTATATTTAACCTTTTTTAAAAAGGGAAATACAATTAAGTAAAACATTGAGATAACATTAGTAAGCGAGATTCATATCAATATGGTTTTCAAAAATGATCTGTCTATTTTATAACATGTTTTATTTTTAGAATATGGTGTACAAATTAATATAAAGGCTTTAACTTTATTCTTTACTTTTTTAATTTAATATAAAAATTAAAGTAACATCATAAATAAATTAAATAAAGTCCTCAAACGACTATTCAGTTCTACTAATAATGATCTTTTAGTTCTTATTTAATTATTTAATTTTAGTTCTAGTAGTTATCTGTATATCTTAATGAATTTTAGGCTTTGTTCATTCATTTGATATGGTATTATGTCTAGTTCAATATTTTTAAACAGAGCTTTAGCATATCTATTCGCTGTAGGATATAAATTGTTAAACCATCCATTTTTTCTCTTCAATGTTCTTATATTTCAAACTAATATTCTTTACATTAATTTTTGAGAATATTTAAGCCAATGATTCTTTTGGTATACTGGCCTTTAAAAATCCGCAAAACATTGAAGAGATAGTTATATAAATTTCAAGAACTCTTGAATCAAATTGTGGTGACTTGTATCATTAGTATTGGGTAGGTTATGGATTTGAAACGAATTCTGATATCAGTTTGAATAAAACTTGGCTACTCTTAAAATTGCGAAATCGAAGAAACTGTGCTTCCTTGCAATTCCCGATTGTCATATCTAACCTACATGTTCATTTTAAATCTCTTTAAAGCTTTATAAAAACGCAAAAAAGGCGTTTAAGTATGTAAGAGTAGATTACAAAAAGTTTATTTGGCACTTGATTTATAATATAACAACCATTCAGGATTATAGAAATTTAAATTTTAAAAGTTACTAACAATACCTTTTATAAGTTTTAATGACTTTACTATAATACATTAAGAAGCCTTATTTGGGAATTTCCATTGAAAATTTAGTTAAAGAAAAAAACCTGCTTTAATACGTAAATTACCAATATAATCTAAAAATTTTAAAATAAGTGATAGGGAAAATAAATAATGAAATAAATATTATCATTTGAGCAGATGGTAGAATGTAATATATGACTGAAATATACCATCCATTGCTTATAAATGTTAAATTCGAACACTTTGTTGTTTATTAATTGTGCCTACCTTTGCAGTATGGTAAGCTAAAGTCATAAGAAATACATAGACGGCTTATCTTGTTATAAATATATGCAATAGTAGGTGATATATGTGGAGATCCTTAATAAAATACGGAGAAAATGGGTAAAATGATATAGGAATGATTAAAATAATAATTAATTTAATGTCAATTCCAATTATAAGCTTCAAAAAATAAAATTAATATTAATTAATTGGAGCAATTTGTGAATCGCTAAATATATTTTTCAATATAAGGAATAAGTTAAGGTTTATATTATTCATATACAATAAAAGAAAATAAGGTGGGAGGAAAATTATATAAATATCAGGAAAGTGACATTGATTATGAATCAATAGTTAAATGAATGATAATTATAGTTGCTACGAGACACTTGAAAAAATACAAAATATTATTGATTTAGTTTTAGACAGATGCGATATATTTACATTGTATCAAAAGTTCAACATAAATAAATCATTGAAGAGGCTAAAAAATTCATTAATTGAGCAGAAGAGGTTTATTATAGAGATGAAGGCAGAGCATGTTAACGATGAAGTCTACGATTTAGGTCAAGCAGATTATTTAGCCAAGTTAAAAGCTTACTTTGCTTTAATCTGGGGATGCTATAAAACATTTGAATATTATTATAACAAGAAAGTGATTGAAAAAGTTAGAATGGGAGAATTATTTTTGATAGCACTAGAAAATTTAAATCAAAATATCGACTTTTCATTTGATCTAGTACGAGTGCTACCCGTGAAACCATATCTAGTTAACAGAGATTTCGATAATATAGCCTGTGATACTCCCTCACTTAGTTCACTACATTCTATTGATTCCTAAATTGTATATAATTTGCCCGCGTTCATGGTGCTGTTTTTTCTGTCTAGGTGTATTTTGGCTATTTTATTCATTTGTAAAGTAGCATTTTATTTGAGCAGTTTATAAATAATTAAATTTTGTATTGTAATGAATTATTCTAATATCATGCCAAGTTTTTTTTAATTCGAAACACATGTAGTTTCTAAACCTTTTTCAGCTTGTCATAATTAAATTTAAAAATTATGACAAGCTGATAAATGTAGCTTATTTAAATTATATCAATGAGTATATTATATCATAAACTTCAATAATACTGATTTAGAAGTTCCTTTTAGAAAACAATGCAATCTGGATTTTAGTTATTGATGAAAAGTTCCACGTTACAATATAATATATCTTGAATAAGTTAGAAATTTTCTATGATTAATCAATTACATATAGAATCATACCTTTTTAATAAACATCCTTTTAATCGGATTTATTATACTAAGTTTTTTTTACTAATAAAACAAGCCAATAAAGTAATGTATACTGAAAATATAGAAAACTGGAATTATGTTAATAGTAGTCACAACCATTCTTAATAAAACTTGAATAAGCTGCTTTTATTCAAAGTTCAACTTCCCACCCTTGGCTCAATATAAAAAACTATGAGATGATAAATGCTAATAAAGTAGCCATTATTTTTGCATAAATTGAAAGTGATCTTGAAATTTTGCAAGTTTAAGTCTAAATCAAACTGGAAAAGTTATTGCTATTTTAATCAGGTTTTTAAATCAACAAATTTTTCTAAATTCGAAAACAAGTCTTGTGATACTATTTTGTTGTTTTACTTTGATTTCACAATAACATTTAATATTTATCCTATCCTCATTTCAAATTATTTTTTATTGTTATCAAGCAATCTAACACACCTGGAGCAGTTGAGTTTCTTAAATTCAATTTGTATTACTATATATATATTAGAAACACTGATCTATAATAGTACTACACTTATTAGTTTTTAAGGATCTTTGCTATACAATTTTAAATTTGTGCTATCTTACATAATATCAGCTACCCTTGATGAAAATACTATAATAAAATTTTAGATATTTCATACTTTAAAATAGAATATTCATTTAAAAGTTATTTCCGATTTTTGAGAATACTAATATTTCTGTAAATAATAAGTTTCAGTCAAAATGTATTAAAATTTTATAGTTTATGTATTAGATGTGATAAATTATTATAACTTACCTTGTTTTTTACAGGTGACTATATTTAAAAAAGTAATACATTAAAGCCTAGACTTCAATATCGAAATGAAGCTATAATTAACTAAAAATATATTTTTTGAAAAACTCAATTATTTATTGAATTCATTAAAGAAGTGATTAGTGTCTGTATCAAAAGTCATTAGTGATCAATATAAAGTCATATGTATTGAAAGAAGTTAGATTGATTAGTTACTTTCTTACTCAAGGAATTGAACCAAATAGTATCAAAAAAAATAAAAGAAATTTTATATATAGGGGTGTTTTTTTTGGCTTCATTACTTTTTCCATCTTTTAAGCGCTATTTGAGTGGAAAGATTGTTAGTGAAATTCAAACAAAAATTCATTCCCATATAGTTATTAAAAAAATTTATTTCCATAAAACAAGTGCTTTCTAGAACATAAATAAATATAGTAGCAAATGAAAACATAGACACCGCGATAGCAGGAATAGGAATAAATAAATGAGAAAAAGGGCATTAAAACCGAGGACATCAAGCTTCATATACAATTCAATTTAAAATTTGGGAATAGAAATCAAGTTAGCTTAAAGTTGCCTTTGGCAATCACTTGAGAAAAGCCAACACTAAGAGCTTTATTATATTCAACAACTTCGATTTTCGATTCCTTATAAATATTAACTTTAAATACCTTTAAAGGGAGTTTAGTAATGTTTTTAGACGCAATGGTTAATCTAGCCAATGATACTTGAAAAGAGGTATAAAGCGTATCTATTGATTGAGCTTTTTTGTAATTATTGCTATGTAAGAAAGTCCCAAATACATAGTTATAGTCTACCAATGCATGATAATATTTTTCTAATTGATCATGGTAATAAATACTATTAAGCGAATAAATACTATCATCTTTTATGTATCCTTTAACTTTTTGTATAAAGACATGTTGATCAAGCAGTATTTCTTGTACTTGTCTAACAATAGTATCGACTTCTTGTACTTTTTGAAAGATGTCATAAAAATGATAAATTGATAATATTTGCTTGATCTCGTTTTCAATTTTAATTATCATCGTTGAATTATTTTTTTTGTATTTCATAGAATTGATGAAAGGAAATAGCATTATGTGAATTCTAATTGTATTTATATTATTAGAAATCAGCCCCTTTTTAAAATCTTTTACTTCCTGCCCCAAAGCTATAAATGGCACTGTTCTTATGTTTGTACCTTATTTTATCAGGTGGAATAAATTAATGAAATTCTCTGCTGATGATTAATCAACCAAAAATCAAAAATAGGTAAATTTACAAAAGGTTCAATAAAGATAGTAACAAATAAAAAATAAGGACAGTGTTAAGTAAAAGATTATAAAGCCATATACATAATAGTAATAAAAGGATATTAATAAGTAATAGCATTTTATATTAAAAGAAAAGAGTATAC